TCAATTTTGCATACATACATTCACTCGAGCAACAATTTTACAACAACGACGACAACACTACACAATTGATAATACTTATCTATAAAATAATTAAAATTACCGCCATATCACGACAATTAAAAAAATTAAACTGTTTACATGTTCTTCTCAAAGTATCTCACTTTCTATTGGTTCTTGTAGTTCAATGTCCACGTGTGTGTGTGTGTCTGTGTACATGAGTGATGAGTACTCACACGTCCAACCACTTACGAACACACACGTACAGACACACACACAAATACACGTACGTGACCAACTAACTCACGTACTAGATATACACACACACACACAATCAATAAGAGGTTTGAAATGAAAATGAAAACGGCTACTCTACTCTACTCCACTCTACTCCATCTTCTCAATGAGTCTGTGTATAGTTTGATGCGTGGAATTTTCGAGAATTGGCAAAAACAAAAAACAATTTACCCAAAAACTAAACAAACAGTAATTATCTTTTGAAAAAAAATATATAATTCAACAACAATTAGTTAGGAATAGTTTATAGTGGTAGTATGTTGACTCAATTGAAAAACAACACATACTACTTACAAATAGAACAGAGTAGAGAAAAAAATAGTGTTGTACACAAGGATGACACTATCCCCTCCCTCTCTTGCATACACACACACTCACGAACACTGTCACACAAGCACAACCAGGTTGTATGTGTTTGCGTGTACATGTACGCAACAAATCATCACTGTGATAAAGGGTCAATTATCGTGGGGAATAAATCATTTTTTTTCAAAAGATAAGTTATTACTTACTATTTTTACTTTGAGTTAACTTGATGGTGGTATCTCGCTCGATATTTCGGCGAGTATTTTGGTTGAAGTAATGTTTTTTCATGCATTGAACATTGATCAATGATTGAAAAGGCGGGAAATTTGTTTTTTTGAAAATTGTTGTTGTTTTAGATGAGGAAGAAAAAAAAAAACAATTCCGGTATTTAAGTAGTGGTTATTGTTGTATATGAAATGAGATGAAAGAAGAAAGAATTTTTTTATAATTATGAAGTGATTTTAGAGAATTTTTTTAAGAAAAATTGTTTATTGCATTGCGGGGTTGTTGTGAAGATTGTTAAGTTTTATTTGTAAGCATGAATCGATCAATCTTGTGGGGTGCAGGAGTCGTGGATGCGCACTGCCACTGAGGAGTCCCATACCAGGACGAAACGGCCGTCCAGTGCTTCAAGGTTTCTTCGAATGGTGGTCTAACATTGATCAATTCATGGTTACAAATAAAACTTCACAATCTTCACAACAACCCCGCAATACAATTACATGTGTCCACTAGTGACTAGCTTGGTGAGGAATCTTCTCCGAGTTCTAGTGGAAAGTCGTCACCAGTGAAGTTCAAATCTGTTCGGATGTATACAGAGTATGAGGTTGCGCAACTCCGTATATATGATCAAGTTAGACATTGATACCTTTAGATACCTGCTCAGTGGTCTAACGGTTAGGGCATTTGAGCACAATACCGAAGGTCCTGGGCTCGAGTGCTGCGGGGTTCAGGAGTCGTGGATGCGCACTGCTACTGAGGAGTCCCATACCAGGACGAAACGGCCGTCCAGTGCTTCTTCCAGGTTTCTTCGAATGGTGGTCTATCACTGATCGATTCATGGTTTCAAAAATGTGTAACTTAACAATCTTCACAACCCCGTAAGGTAAATGATAATAGCCCAAAACACTTGTTGTGTTGAGAACACAAAATGGTCTAGGATGATAGATAGGTTTAAGTGTTTTTCTAGTACAGTTCTTAGTTTGAGATGGTGAAGAAGAAGATTTGTAGCTCAGGTGGATGATTGTGGTGGTGATGATGGTGTTTGGTGCTTTGAGCTGGATGTTTTAGTTGGTTGTGGAGCTTTCATTTTTGTTCTCCTTCTGAACAACATCATCATCAGCACAAACTTCAGATGGAAGAAGTGAAGCATTCGAATTTCTCCACGTGTTTGACCTGTAGCTTGTTCTGCTGCTAACCTCGATCTTGATTGGTTGTTGTTGTTGAACTTAAACCTGTCGTTGTTTGCATCTTTGTTTTGATTGCACATCCCTCTTTTTTGATCTGTTTCTTGATTCCTATGTCACCTATGATGATGATGATGATGATGTTCAGAAGGTGAACAATGAAAGCTCCACAACCAAAACAGCATCCAGCTCAGAGAACCAAACACCACCAACACCACCACCAAAAACTTCTGAGTGTTCAGTTTTTTACATGAACAAGAAAATGGAAGGTATGGATATTACATCCAAGAGACTTAGGGGGTGTGAAAGGTTGTGTTTCGTAGATTTTTTACTCGTCTCTAAGTTGTCTTGTTCAAGTAGGAAGTTGTAAAATACACATAGATAATATGTATGACGCCCAAAATTGTGTTTGATTTAAACAAGCTAAGGAATATTTAAATTCAATTGTTCAGTGTCTAATATGTTGTCATTTTAAACAAAAAAATCCTAGTTTCCAATATTTATGTAAACATTAACGCTGGATTGTAAGTTCATCAAAATAAATCTTAAATAAAATGTTTATTGTGCACAAAAACTAGAACAACTACGTTATTCATTATTCGGCTAGTTCAATATTCAATCTAAACAAGCTCTTATCTGTATTGCTCAATGTGAAAAGAATAAAGAGAGGCCAAGGGATATATTAACTCTGAGAAATGGCGGCCTCTACTCTATCTAGAAGCTTACAGGCGTAAGCAAGCAATCAGTTATCTTGAAAAAAACCCACTGATCACCACTGGTGAAGCTTGTTTTATAGACAGAAATGAATTACACATTTTTTGAAACCATGAATCGATCAATGTTAGACCACCACCATTCGAAGAAACCTGGAAGAAGCACTGGAAGACAGCCGTTTCGTCCTGGTATGGAACTACTCATCAGTGGCAGTGCGCATCCACGACTCCTCCACCCCACAGGATTCGAACCCTTTGGTATTGTAGGCGACCGGTGAAGTTCAACCTTTCCCGGTGTAGACAGTAACTACTACCGAAGACTGTGTATCAGGTTGCGCAACTTCGTGAATTGATCAAGTTAGACACCGTTAACACCGTTAGATACCGACTCAGTGGTCCGATGGTTAGGGTCCTGGGTGAAGGAGTCGTGGATGCGCACTGATTAGAAGTCCCATACCAGGACGAAACGGCCGTCTTTCAGTGCTTTCAGGTTTCTTCGAATGATGGTCTAACAATGATCGATTCATGGTTTCAAAAAATGTGTAACTTAACAACCCAATAATGAGAATTGAATTATAGTATCCATGTCATATAGTAAGTATATATGTATCTGTGTGTATGTACAAATAACCTTGACCTATTACAACATTTACACTATGACAATTCTCTCATTGTCATCTATCATTATCCGTATTTACTTGTAATCAAAAAAGAAATAGACCACAGGAGATGAATATAGTTAACTAACCTGATTAACAGGGTATATAGTAGTTAGTTGTAGCCATATCTTGAATACTCAGTTGGTGCAAAACTTGTCCCTAGATTAGTCAACTGCTGAGAAGGTTTATTTATAAGTATATATTAATATATAGATATATTCGAGTATATTATTTTCACTGACATACATACATTCGAAACCCGCATTATTATTATTATTATTATTATTATTATTATTATTATTATTATTATTATTACTATTTTTAAGAATAAAAAAACGGTATATGTAACTTGAATCGAATTCAGTTTATTTCATTGATTAATTGATGTTGTGATTGCCAATATATTGTTATCAATAGTCAATTATTTAATTGAAGTAGTCGAACGTGTAGACCGCTTCACTTATCTTGGGAGTCTTCATTAGTGTTGATGGCCTAGTAGTGACTGACGGAATCTCAGCTCGGATACAGAAAACTCGATTGGCTTTTGCCAACCTGCGTCATTTATGGCGTAGGCGAGATTAAAGGACGAGTGTACTGTGCAGTAGTTCGCTCCGTCGTACTGTACGGATGAGAGACTTGGCCGTTAGGAGTAGAGGACTTTCATAGGTTACTAGTCTTCGATCATCGATGTCTCCGAAGCATTGCTCGTGTATCATGGGACAACCGTATGAGCAATGCTGTCGTTAGGAAACGAGTTCTAGGGTAGGGACGGAAAATCAATAGATGAAGTAGTGAAACTTCATCAGTTGAGGTGGTTTGGACATGTGTTACGAATGCCGAACTACCGACTTTTGTGGTGTAGGAGTAGGTTGGAAGAAAGTTAGAGGCAGCCAGACCAAAATATGGCACAAATCCATGAAGTTACTGACAAGTGAACTGAGTCATGTTGGTAGATGTAGGCATCCTGGTTCGGGTCCGCGAGACGAAAGTCACTGATGGTTAGAGACGTTGAACGACATGGCTCAAAATCCTTTGCAATGGCGCAGGTGCATCCACTATTTGTGTTCCATGAAATCCATTACTGCTAATACTTCTGTTATTGCTATGACTGAACTGATAGTTGCGTCTCTGTGGTGATGTGGTATGGCAAGTACGACGTTCTGCGTTGTATCTGCCTGTCTGTCTGTCTGTCTGACTGTCTCGAGGACGTTTCTATGATGTACAAATAAACGAGAGTTGTGTGCTTGATTGCATTGTACTTTCTGGGTGTTTGTAGAATATACTTTCTACTCTATATCAAGACTTTTTAGTTAGTCATCAGATCAAGGTAGCCTGCCTGTTGGCTGGTTCATTGTCTGGTTCACATTTATTGACTAAGATGAACTCGTAATAGTTTCAAGCATACCTAGTGACGAACCTAACAGGGACATACAAACTTCTACATTGTAGCTAACTGACTGACTGACTGACTAACTGTCACTATCCCTCATACATTAGTCTCAGTAGATATATTTATATCATTCATGTCAAAATATTAACAATTCACTTGTTTGTATGTCATGACATGGCTCAAAACCGTTTGCACTGGCGCTGGTGCAGTTATTCTTTGTGTTCTCTCTCAAATCCTAATCTTTTGGATTCTTCAACAACTCTAGTTTTGACTTTCTAAACTTATCTCACTGAATCACATACTTCTTGAATAATTATCTTGTAATCCTAACCTCTCTGATTACTTCTAATACCTTTATTACCTCTTCTACTATTGGATTTGAATTGACAATTATATCTCTGTGCTGATGTGGTATGGCGACATGAACTGATGTACATTGGTACGAAGTTCTACGTTGCATCTGACTGACAGATTGTATGTCATATTGTTTTTTCAAATTTTAATATTTCACCTCACTGATTATGAAAGAATTATTCTTTAATTTTTTTTTTCAAGGTGAAAATTTGGTTTCAAAATAAACGGTCAAAATTAAAGAAAATTCTACGTCAAGGTCAAGATCCTACAGCATTTCTTAATGGAACTGGGAATGATAAACTTAATGATGATGAAGATCAAATGGTATGAATTTTCTTGTGTGTGTTTTTTGTTTTACTGTGATTAAGTTTCATTTATGAGTTTGAGTACATGTACAATCACCTTCGCCAGTTCACCGATGTCCATAGGTTGTGCTACATTTACTAGTTCCCGCTGCTGGGACACGGCGGCAGGCACACTCTCGATAAATTGCGACGCCAACAACTGTGCCCCCGACTTCCCATCCATACTTGGCAGCGTACGGCGCAGCAACATCGTGAGCTTTACAGCCAGCACCAACGGGTCACCATCTGCCGAAAGCCTCGCCAGCCGGAACCTCTGCGGCGCCTCCTCCCTGTCCACCGGGCTGTCGAACTCCGTCATCATCCGCCCGGTGACCGTCTCTCACGCCGTCTTCCCAGCTGCACCGTCCAGACTGTCGGATACCGCCTTCGCCTCACCTCCCCGCAGCGTCCCCAGCACCGCCAACACCGCTACGGGCTCCTTCACACGCACCAGCTCCACCGCGGCCTCAAACTCCTCCGGGAAGCTCCGTGAATCTCCATCCTCCAACCCCTTCTTCCACGGGAGCTCCTTCCTTCGAGCAGGCAGCGACACCAAGTACAAATATGTACTTCATAAATGTGACCTATATGTACTAATCAACAAACATCACAGTTATTAGGAGGTTGATCAAAACATGTATCATTTTGGTTATTTAACCAAAAAAATTTGATAGTAGTATCATGAATGAACAAAAGAAGGCCAAATGCGATGTGGGACCGAAAAATAAATACACATCGCTTTCCAATCATCTATTTGTATGTTTATCAATCCAATTAGGTAATAGGTTGTTTACTGTAGTGCTAATCCCAAGTTTCCTTGACGAAACATACTATTGACTTCCTGAAATTCATATCTTCATTTGTTAACTCCTAACGAGACTCTGTACTACTGATAACCAAACTCGTGAATAGTATTCAACAGAACAATACCATACAAATCTGAGTCAGTCGTTCAGTCAATTACAACGTAGAAATTAATAAGTACGTACTTCACTTCAAGTTGCCATATCACAATAGCATAAATGCAACTGTCAATTCAAGCCTCATAGTAGTAGTATTAGTATTAGCGGTAATGGAGAAGATTGGGGATCTAATATATGTCATATCATTCAAGGTCTGTAACTTTTGTCTCGACGACAGACGAAGACCAGGTGGGACAGGGAATTGACAGTGTGCGAAGTTAATACACATCACCTTCAAAACATCTATTTGCATGTTTATCTATTATCCCTACCTAATATCCTTTTCCTCATAACAACAGTGCTTACTCGGTTGTCCAGGATGTAAGAGGTATGCTTCAAAGATAACTCTGATCAAATACTAATAGTCTATGAATATCCTTTGCTCTTAGAGACCTGGGTGCGGTTTCATCGGCACCTGAACTAGTGATAGGGAGTGAAGTAGTCAAACGTGCAGACCGCTTCACTTTTCTTCGGAGTCTCATCAGCTGATGGCTTAGTAGTGACTGACGAAATCTCAGCACGGATACAGAAGGCTTGATCTGCTTTTGCCAAACTGCGTCACATATAGCGCAGGCGAGATATCCATTTGATGACTAAAGGAGGAGTGTACTGTGCTGCAGTTCGCTCCGTCCTACTGTACGGATGAGAGACTTGGCCGTTAAGAGTAGAGGACTTTCGTAGGTTACTAGTATTCGATCATAGATGTTTAAGAATGATTGCTGGTATATCGTGGGACAACCGAGTAAGCAATGCTGTCGTTAGGAAACGAGTACTAGGTAAGGAAGGCAGATCAATAGATGAAGTGGTGAAACCTCATCAGTTGAGGTGGTTGGGACATGTGTTACATATGCCTAACAACCGACTGCCTCGACGAGCTATGTATTGTGGTGTAGGAGTAGGTTGGAAGAAAGCTAGGGTCGGCCAAACCAAAACATGGCCGAAATGCATGAAGTCACTGACAAGTTGACTGAGTCATGTCGGTAGATGTAGACTACCTGGTTGGGGTCTGGGAGACGAAAGTCACCAATGGTTAGAGACCTTGAATGACATGGCTCAAAATCGTTTGCAATGGCGCAAGTGCATCCACTCTTTGTGTTCTATGAAATTCTAACCTTCTGAATTCCTCATAATCTCTATCTTTCTCTTTCTAAATTTATCTTACTGAATTATACTTCTCGAACCATAACTTCGCTCCTTAAACTTCTCCATTACCGCCCATACTTCTACTATCGCTATCACTGTTAAATTTGAACTGACAGTTGCGTCTGTGTGCTGATGTGGTATTGCAACCTGAACTTATGTACTTACGTACGAAGTTCTGAGTTGTATCTTTGTCTTTGCTCTTAGTGACCATGTGTTTTATGCATGATATTTCATTTATAATTATGACAAAAATAGTTTAGTGCGATTTCTTTTCTGAAACAACCTTCTACGACCAAAATCTACTTAGTCTACTGTACACTTTTAGTCAATTTTAACTATTCTTCCTGTTTTCATTCACCTTTTAGGAAAGTGATTATGAAGAAGATACACATTCTATTGATGGTGACACATCAAAATTATCAGCCAATTCATTGGAATATACGCGTAATCATCATCATCATCATCAATATAATTCAAATATCCCACAATCAAATCTTCAACATTCAATACATTCAATAAAACAAAATGATAATTTTGAATTTATTAAAAATGATATGAATCATTTTGAAAAAACTAATCTGAATGATACAGGTTTCTATTCTTTAAATAATAATAATAATAGTAACAATCTAAATTGTGAATCCTATTTAAATTCCAAACTTCCAACTCATACAGAAAAATCAATAAATCATCAAGTAACCAATCATGATGAAGTGAACACAATACCGACCAATCAATGTTTAGCATACACGACTACTGTAGAATTAACCAATCAAAATCAAGCAAATAGTTTTGCTCCATTAAATGATCAAGTGTCAATAGATAATAATTCAAATCGTTTATTATTTACTGAACAATCGAATAATAATAATAATAATAATAATAATAATAATAATAATAATAATAATACTCATTCATCAAAATCTTCATCACCTTCTTATTCAGATGAGAAACAATTACATTATACAGAAACATCAAATTCTCATCATCATATATGGTCGTCGTCGTCACCTACCATATCTACTGTGATTCAACAGCAATCCAATTTGATCAATGAAAGCCATTTAAATTCAAATTGGACACATCATGATATTCAATTGTCAACATTCAATTTGTCCAATTGTTTAATTAATAAAGAAATGGAAAATTCCCATCACATGATTACATCATCATCATCAGCATCATCGGCATCATCAGCATCATCGGCATCATCATCTTCGACAAAAGATGAATGTAGTAGCCAGCTGACAGAACATCAAGAAGAGAAAATCATTAATAATCCTTGGTGTATTGATCTGAAACCAAATTTAAAACCACCAACTGAATCAACAACAATCTTAGATATTCCATATGATCAGTATACTTATTAACTTTTCGTGGTTTTTTCTATTAAAAAATAGAGAGTAAAATGTATTGTATTACATGCTATCAGTTAAAGAAGATAAATTAAATATGAAACGTGTACATTTCGTACAGCGCCAATAATAATTAAAATAATAATTAAAACAAAAGTAGACACATTGATTTTTCAAAAATCAAATAAAACCGTGAAAATTGAACAAAAGAAATTATGATTGCCGGAATTTGCATTTCTTTTAACGAACACATTTACCGTACTATTTTTTTGATAATCATTGGACATTGAATATTGAATGAACGTGTATGTGTGTATTTTTCAATGTTCAATGATTATTGAAAATGTAATTTCGATGGTTGTTGTTGTTCTTGACCGCTACACTTGCTTCTAAACTTTACACTCACGCACACCGCATACACACACACACAAACGTTCAAATAGAATCATTTGTTTATATTATTATTAATCTGATTTACGTGAAATCGAGATGAGATGAGAAGAATAAAAAATTTGGGCGGGAAAATTTGTATTTATTTTTTTTATTTTATTTGCATGTTTTTTGCATTCATTGTGAATTTTTCCTTTCTTCTTCTTCTTCTATTACTTTTCTCATTATTTGTAAATATCTATATATACCGATATATATATAAAATATATAAGATTATATTGTACAATAATTATGTAATCTGTGGTATATTTGTAGTTGTTATATTGGGCTGTAATTCACAAATGAGTAAAAACATTTTGAGGCAGAGTTTTGGAGGTTTGCATTTTTACACATTTGAAATCATCAATCAATCAATCATTGTTAGACCACCATTAGAAACCTGGAAGAAGCACTGGACAGCTGATGAGTCCCATACCAGGACGAAACGGCCGTCTAGTGCTTCCAGGTTTCTTCTAATGGTGGTCTACACAATGATTGATTGATGATTTCAAATGTGTAAAAATAAACACAAACCTCCAAAACTCTGTCCGAAAATATCGTAACAGTGCTCACTAGTGACCAGCTTCATGAGGAAATTATCGGAGTTCTAGAGTGAGAAGACGTGACCAATGGAGTTCACCCCTGTCGGGTGTAGGCAGTAACTACCAAAGACAAATTAGTGAGGTCGCGCAAAATCCCTAGACCAATCAGAGTTAGACATTAACACCATCGGATGCCGGTCCAGTGGTCCGATGGTAAGGCGTTCGCATACAATGCCGAAGGTCACGGGTTCGAATCCTGTGGGGTGCAGGAGTCGTAGATGCGTACTGCTGGTGAGTCCAATACTAGGACGAAACGGCCGTCCAGTACTTTTAGGTTTCTAATGGTGGTCTAACAATGAGTAAAAACAATGAATAAATACAAGTTAACTTTAAAAAACTGTCTAATTGAGCTGTCAAAGAGTTAGGACTCGAGGGGGGAAGTCTATTTTATTATCGAAAATATCATGTATAAATTACTGTTCTGGGATGATGAATTCAATTGTTGACCAATAATATATTGTTTTTCTGTTGGTTGTCAAATAACCTTCTTGTTCGGTCGTTTCTGATTGGTTCATTATTTTTATCAATTTGTGTTGGCTGAGTTAGATTCGATCGTGGGCTTATAAGTTTATTTCGGTATTTGATTCGATGTAGCGCTCACTAATTTGGTGGCCCGCGGTCCAATGTTCATGAACATTTAAACATACTCACTTACTTACTTACAGGTTTTCTCCAACCAACTGTGTCCTGGGCTTCCGTTTCTAGTTCTTTCCAGTTTTTATTCATTCCTCTCATATCTTTCTCTCTATTTCTCAGCGTAATGTGTTCCTTGGCCTTCCTCTTTTGCTTTTGCTTTGAGGGTTCCATGTGAGGGCTTGTCTTGTGACGTAGTTAGGTGCTTTTCGTAGTGTGTGTCCTATCCACCAACTCCACCGCTTCTTCCTGATTTCCTCCTCCACTAGAATCTGGTTTGTTCTCTCCCACAGTAAGTTGTTATTGACAGCCTCTGGTCAACAAATCCGAAGTATCCTGCGTATTTAACTGCTAATAAACACTTGTATCTTCTGGATGATACCTCTCGTAGTTCTCCAAGTTTCCTCTCCATACAGTAGAACTGTCTTGACATTTGTACTGAAAATCCTGATTTAAACATTCTATGATATAAATCTCTCCCATTTGTTTCCGTTTGTGTGACAGCGTTAATAAGATGTCGAATACAGAATTTATTTCAGATAATCGTTCACACAGACATGATAACGAAAAGTATACAAGCAAATAGGAACAAAATGGATTGGAGAAAGTGAGAGAACCAACTCCAACTAAGAATTTTTAGTCAGACAAAAATGAGCCAGCTATGTAATAAGCGAGATAGGCAAGCACTCATACGAATAAAAGTAACGCAGATATGACAGAACACACACTACGAAAAGCACCTAACTGCGTCACAAGACAAGCCGTCACATGGAACCCTCAAGGCAAAACGAAAAGAGGAAGGCCAAGGAACACATTATGCCGAGAAATAGAGAAAGATATGAGAGGAATGAACGAACATTGAACAGAACTGGAGAGGGTAGCCCAGTACAGAGTTGGTTGGAGAAAACTGGTGGGCGGCCTATGCTCCATTGGGGGTAACAGGCGTAAGTAAGTAAGTAAGATATGACAGAATGATTGAGACAAGGTCAAAAGTCAAGTGTGACAAACCATGAGCAATCACTATAAACTACTATACGATTACTATAGCTTTAACATGTTTGAACGTTCATGTAATTTGGATAGCCTGATCATATTATATAGTTTCTAATAAAGATTGAATAATTTTGGTCTTGATAAATACTAGCCGTTTGAGAATTCAATTCTTAATGTGTTTGGTGAAAGTGAATTGTAAGTGATCACTGAACAATAATAAAAAAAAAAGAAATAGAGCTTTCTCGGGGTTGTGGTGGCGGCTACTTCTTCGTGGCCCCGCTAGAAACGTGGTGTTGTTTACAGTGCTGCGGCTTAAGCCGTTCTGAACGCTTAGGATACCGTGCCTAGCATGGTCCAGAATAATGGTACGTGTTGATGGTCGCAAGGCTGTGGATGTGGTTAGCCACTTTGGGCGATTAGAACTGAAGGTCCCTAAGTTTGAATCCCTTCCATCGAGTGTAAGTAAATTCCGATAATGGTTGAGGACTTGTCCTCTATCATTCCGATAGTAGTAAATACCTTGAAAGGGATGTAGCTTTCCAGCTTTCTTGAAGGCGGCCCTAGACGATTTGTTGGGGAAGCAGCCGTAAAGATCCTGGATTATTGACGCCGACCCTATGTGGTTGTCCCAAACACTCTGCATCTCGGTGTATTGTGTAAGCTGGCGTCGAGGCCCCTTAAACAAGGGTCTCGAGTTGGGTTATGTGATGCGGTGCTAAAGGGTACTTGACGCCAATGATGGCTGTGCACTTCTGTGGGATTAACCCTGCTTGGCTGAGTGCTCGAGCTTAGTTGAATCCATGACATCTTCCTCATGGGAGTGTGTACGTTCCGGCTGACCTTGTGGGACAAACTCGATCTTTAGCTTCATACGGGGTCTGAGGGCTCCGGTCGATTGTATCAGCGCAAGGTAGTTGGAGCCAGACGGTTGGAACGGCTGCTGGTTAGTGCACTGCTTGGGTGGCTCGATAATCCGTTCGGGGTGCCAGGTCCAGCTGGGTAAGCCCGTCTTGCCGCCCATGCGGATTGGGGATTTCGGGTAGTCGATTGCTGGAAGGACCTTGTTGATTCATAAGTACCTGAACGGGGGCCACTAATCGTGTGCGTGCTTTTCCGACATCCGACCTGCTTGCGGGCCAAACTGGACAACACGTATGTTCTGACTGGGGCAGGGGTGATAGCAATATTGGCTCTAGTGAGAATCCTTGTGTTGCCTAAATAGCAGCGATGTGCATGTGCATCGGGCTTGTCGGTTAACCAAGATTTTCTGAACAATTCTATACAAGTTCACTTAGAGTGATCAGTTTACTCACGTTTCTTCTATGCATGATACTTACTTTCACCTGTTACCCACAAAGGGTACAGTTCAACGACAAGCACTGTACTGGGCTTTCCTTTCTAATTCTATCCAATGATTGTTTAGTCTTTGCATGTATGTTTCCATTTCTCGGCTTGATATGTTCCTTAGTCTTCCTCAATTTCTTTGACGTTGATGATTCCAAATGAGGGCTTATCTTGTGACGCGGTTGGGTGCTTTCCTCTTTCATCGCTTCTTCCTGATTTCTCCCTTAGCTGAAACCTGATTCATTCTGTCCCACATTTCGTTGTTTTTGATGGTGTCTGGCCAATGGATCCGAAGTATTTTCCTTAGATTATATGCATGATGTCTGAGCGTAAATGTGTTCAATATTCTGCTGTACTATAATTTCGTGGGAAGTTACACGTCTATATCTAACCTAGCTTAATCTTTTAGTCTAATTTACTACTCTCTACAGTATCGATTGACTTTTGTATCACGATCAAAATCCTAAATCATTTTCTCTTCTACATTAGTTTTCATGTGAAAATCCAAATGTTTACAATAAAACAGATTACAGAGCTGTAAAAATTTAAACCAATCAACTGATCAAATCTCAAGGTCTCTTTATATGACATCTCATAAAACATAATTTATGTGGATGCTGAACTTTGTAACAAATTAAGGTATATCAGTCGAAAATAGTTTTATGATGGATGACACATTAAAGTTCATCATCATTGAAATTCATGTGTAATGCTTTTTAATAAGTAGTATATCGTAAACATTTATAAAAAACCTATTCTAGCAACTCATTGCGCAATCGCATGGTCTGTTCTATTCACTTAACTGAAAACGTGGGTCACTCCACAAGCCTTTGTGATATGTTCGTCACTAGGTATGCTTGAAGATATTACGAGTTCAACTTAGTCCATATACACGAACGAGACAATAAACCAGCGTCCAGGTAGGCTACCTTGAATACCAAACTGTGAAACAGAAGTCTTGATAAGCGTAGAAAGTATATTCTACAAACACCTAGCAAGCATAATGCAATCAAG